GAGCCCACAGTTCTTTACATGAACAATACAGTACAAGACAAGATCCTCTGCACAGTTCAAGTGACTGCTAATGGACGATGTAAAAATGTTGAGCTGATTGTAGATACAGGCTCATCTGTGTCCATTATAGCAGAGAACATTTACTCCACCTTCTTCTCAGAATGTGCCCTAACTGAACCTGCATTTGCTCTTGTTACCTATGCAAAATAGAAAATTGCTGTATAAAGGCGCGTAACATGTGGAGGGGCATTATGTGTATAACAGATTATAAAGGCAGGAGAAAACAATGCCCCAAAGACCCATCACTGCCTGGTGCCCTCAACAAGTTCTACGCGCGCTTTGAAGGCCTGAACAGACCACCCAGCATCAGACTCACCTCACCACTGGATGAAGAGCTTCTCAGTGTGACCTCAGCAGAAGTAAGAAATACTTTCAGGAGGATTATTCCTCACAAGGCAACCGGCCCAGACAACATCTCTGGGAAAGTGTTGAAAGAATGTGCCGATCAGCTCTGCGAGGTGCTGGCCGACATCTTTAACACCTCACTTACCCTGGCGACAGTTCCCACCTGCCTGAAGACCGCCAACATCATCCCAGTCCCAAAGAGCTCTACAGTGACTGGTCTGAATGATTATCAGCCTGTGGCCCTCACCCCAATAGCCACTAAATGCTTAGAAAAACTGGTCAGGACCCACATCAAAACAACCATCAACATCAACGAGGACCTTCATCAGTACGCATACAGTGAGAACCGATCAACAGAGGACACCATTTCCTCTGTGGTCCACACTACTCTCACCCACCTGGAGCAGATGGACTCCTACGTCCGTATGCTCTTTGTGAACTTCACATCTGCGTTCAACACCATTATCCCCCAAACACTGATGGACAAACTATTCACACTAGGACTAAGCCTCTCCATTTGCAACTGGGTCCTAGACTTCTTAACAAACAGACTTCAGTCTGTGAGGATCCACAACTCACCTCAGGGATGTGTGCGTGCCCATCTGCTCACACAGACTCGTGTTTGTGCTGCTGTTCGGCATAATATTTTTATGCTACTAGTGCTTAGTGTATATCTAGTTGATGTTATTCTTAGTGCATATCTTAGATCTTATTGCTGTTTTTCTTTTACATTTTATTGTTGGATGTAACTGGGACCCTGTGTACATAATTTCGTTCCATCACATCTACCACATGGGGTGTGAATGACAAATAAAGAACCTTGAATCCTTAAAAGCTAATGTTTCTCATGATAATCATTCTACTGCAGGTACTCTAGTTATGGTTGAGTCAGGTGCTGTTCTCCTAGGCTTATATTTAATTCAGTCATTACATAAGAAACTTGAAGGATGAAAAGTTATTACTACTATTACCCCTACCTCTACTGTTCAACCTGCTGTGCCAAAGACTGAACCAGAAAATGATCCAGAAATGTCAGTTCAGGAAGCAGGCTATGCTAAAAACTTCCTACACAAAGTACACATACTGCCAAATGCTGTTCCAGTGCAACAAAAACTCAGGAAACTGACATATTCAGTGAGACAAGCTGTTTCAGAGGAGCTCAAAGATCTTCAAAATAAGGGCATCATTGAACGTATCGATGCTTAGTCTTGGGTTTCTCCCATAGTTGTGACACAAAGGAGAGATGTGTGTCATGTGTGTTGATTTAAGGGAGCCAAATGAAGTTACTGTTGCTGATTGTCATCCATTACCACACATGGATGGTATGAACTGTTCTCAAATCTACGAGGGGCTACTGTTTTTTCTACTATGGATTTAGCATATGTCTACCACCAAATGCCTCTGCATCCTGAAAGTTGTGGTATTGCTGCATTTATTACTCATGATGGACTTTTTCATTTCTTCAGAGTTCCATTTGGTTTAGCTTCTGCCCCATCTGACTTTCAAAAAATGATGTCAATCATCCTTGCAGGTTTGACAGTCGTAGTTGTATAACTGGATAACATAATTTGTTATGGCTCTACACAAAGAGAACATGATGAAAATTTAAAGAGAGTGCACCAAGCCCTGACTGCTGCTGGACTCAAGCTTAACATGCAAAAATGCAGATTCGGTCATCCAACAAAGTCCATGCTCAATATTCCAGGTATACAATCCAACATTTTTCAGTCTGGTCATCTGGACAGTTTTATTTTTTTGTAATGAAACATTTCATTTTCCATCCAGAAGGCTTCATCAGTGAAGGAAACACAAAACTGATTCTTCCCCCAACAGCTTACTCCAAAGTGGAACAAACCAGTTATGTTGGTGATAAGATGGTGTCTTTGGCACAACCCCTCCTCCGGTGCTGACCCTCTTCCTAATCGACAGTCATGTCAAACTGGTTCAAAACCAACTAAGTCCATGCTCAATAATCCAGGTATACAATCCAACATTTTTCAGTCAGGTAATCTGGTGACATGACTATCGACGAGGAAAAGGGCCAGCACCAGAGGAGGGGGTGTGCCAAAGAAACCATCTCAGCACCAACATCACTGGTTTGTTCCACTTTGGAGTAAGCTGTTGGTGGAAGAATCAGTTTTGTGTTGTGTTTCCTTGACTGATGAAGCCTTCCAGATAGAAGGTGAAACATTTCAGCACACAAAATAAGAAACTGTCCAGATGACCTGACTGAAAAATGTTGTGTTGTATACCTGGATTATTGAGTATGGACTTTGTTGGTTTTGAACCAGTTTGACATGACTGTCGATTAGGAAGCGGGTCAGCACCGGAGGAGGGGTTGTGTCAAAGAGACCATGTTAGCACCAACATAACTGGTTTGTTCCACTTTGGAGCAAGTTGTTTGTGGGAAGAATCAGTTTTGTGCTGTGTGTTTCCTTGACTGATGAAGCCTTCCGGATGGAAGGTGAAACATTTCAGAAAAAAAAAAAGAAACTGTCCAGATGACCTGACTGAAAATTGTTGGATTGTATACCTGGATTATTGAGCATGGAATTTTTTGATGTCATCCAGCCATTTGTAACCAAATGTAACTGCACTCTCAAGCACTGTTATTGGAGGTACAGCTGAAGGTACAGTTCATTAACTAGACTCGGCCACTGAATCAGGTCAGAAGAAACATTAGTGTAATCACAACTACTGGTACTACTGGGGAGTGGTGGCGCAGAGGTTAGAGACGGTGGCTCTGTGATCGGAATATCACTGGTTCAAGCCTCGGTACCGACAACATCAACAAAAAAAAAAATGTGGGTGGGCTAGGTGAATTACCCACACCTGTCCCCACCCTCATTTGCCCCACTCTGGGCCCATGAGCAAGGCCCTTAACCCCCATCTGCTCCCTAAACAGGTCTCTCTTGAAAATGAGTTCGCATGGCTCAATGAGACTACCTGTATAAATAAAGGTAAATTAAAAATATATTTATTTTCTTAAACAAAAGGTTTTATTTTACAATGGGCTCTATGTACTCCTATACTAGTTACAACTTGTTGGATCCATTGAATTGCAGATATTTGTTGCAACCAATGAGCCAGAAGACTGTTTTTTTTTGTTTTTTTCCGGATCTCAAATTAAACTGGAGAAATTACATTTGCTGAGAAAAAGCAGTGTGAATGCTAACTGTTGAATGATTTTGGCTGAAACCTGCTGAAGACGCTGAAATCTGCTGAAACGGTTCCATCACTAAAATGTTAATGTGAGTTGAATTTGAACAGCTGATGTTTGTTAATCAGACATGTTTGCTAACATTTGCTATTTAAAATGGCAAATTTGTTGAATTAGAGCCACTACTAGGTTTCATTAGAAGAACAGCCCATAATCTGACTTATTAGATAATTACATGTTTTTTTGTGAATATATACACATATGTGGGCAGCTGTGTCTGAGTGGTTAGAGAAGTCGTCCTCCAATGCAAGAGTTGGGGGTTCGAATCCACAAGCAGTCACATGCTGAAGTGTCCCTGGGCAAGACACTGAACTCCTCATGGCCTCTGATGTGTGTCCCATCAGTGTATGAATGTGATCTAAAGCTCTGATTAGTCTCTTTAGAATGATTTGTTCAATTAGCTTTGTAGAGATCTAGTAGAGTGCTGTATGAATGGGTAAATGAGGCACAGATTGTAGTTTAAAGCGCTTTGAGTATCTTGAAATAAGATAGAAAGGTGTTATATAAGTACAGTCCATTTACCATTTACCATATATCCTGATGCATGCTCAATAATCCAGGTAGAAGAATCTAAAAAAGATAAGTCTGGTCCTCTGGACTGAAGAAGTCTTTCGGATGAAAAATGAAACGTTTCTACTTTTTTGTTTGTTTGTTTTGTTTTTTGAATGTCCAGAGGCTCAGACTTAATTTTTAGATATACACCCATATATATACAGCCACTTATGAAACATGTTAAGATATACTGTATAGATGCAACTATGGGTTCTCTGACAAAATATCAATACGTATACAACCAAAATCTTAAAATTACTGCTAGATGTGGAAAAATAAAAAGTGTACATATTTTACATCAAATCAATGTTAAGAATATTCTTCTTGACTGAGCATGTTTCAGTACTGTGATTAAAAAAAAAACTTTTAAGGAATGCAAAAAGGAGCAAAGTCTATAAAAATCCAGACTCATTTTAATTTTTCCATACTCATTCAACCTGGACAATATTAAAACTAAATCTCATAAGGTCTTATATGTGTAAAGACTGTAGGAAAGCTGAACAAAACTAAGCATAAAAGACTGAGACACACATGATTCATTCATTACGTAGAACAGCCATTAAGATCTTAAAAGACTGACTTCATCGAGACAGGATTATTGGTCAAACCAAACAATTTTAAAGCAGCTCACGACATTATGACGTCCGAGTGAGCATGATGGGAAATGCAGTCATGGAAGAGTCCCATACAGGGAACACAGTAAGCACATAACCATTGATATGCAAATGATGTCTGACTTTTTTAGTTAATTAGAATAATAAAGCAGATCTGAGCCCAAGACAGATGCAGATAAAAACACAGAAAGTGATGAGCACACACACACCAGAGGGAGGTGCTGCGGTCTTCTTACTCTGATCTCTGTTGCCTTGGAAAGGACTCTGTCATCCATTTCTATGACGTCTGTGTCCCGAGGAGATGACCAGCACAGAAGGCAGGAATGTTTGAGGAGGTTGGAGAAAGAGCAGTCGTTTTTCCAGTCTGCCTTTCCTCCATCATCCCTCTGTTCCCAAGTTCCCTCCATCTTTTCCTGCTGCACTGCTGCTTCCTCCATTACTGCTGTCACTACACTGCAGAGGAGGTGGAGCTGCTCTCTGTGTGTATGTGTGTGTGTGTGTGTGTGTGTGTCTGTGTAGTGGAGCAGAATGCACCACTGTAAGAATAGAAATAAATGTGTGTGTGTGTGTCCGGGGGGGGGGGGGGGGGGAAGGTGGGAATGAGAGGGTTGAATTAGACAATTAGAGAAACAGAACCACCCACCGTCTTTTCTTGATTTCCTGATATTCATGCCTTCATGTGCGTCATTCTCTCACAATAAACCTGCTCTCCCCTCTTCACATCTCACACTTCATACTGTACCCCTCCCCCACTTCATCCTCATCATTAGCCACTGCAGTATATGTCAGGTTCACATGCACACAAACACTCAAAGCTGTGAATGACTCATAAAAAAAAAAAAACAACAGGAATTCACAAATGTGTTCGTCATAATTCTTATCTCCCGGTACTATATCATTTTGAAACATACTCATAATATTTTGTATGGTAAATGGACTGTACCTATAGTGTGCCTTTCTATCTAATCAAGATACTCAAAGCGCTTTACAACACAATCTGTGCCTCATCTACCCATTCATAGAGTCCTCTACTACATCTCTACAAAGTTAATTGAACAAATCATTCCAAAGAGACTAATCAGATTTTTAGATCACATTCATACACTGATGGGACACACATCAGAGGCGATGATGGGTTCAGTGTCTTGCCCATTGACACTTTGGCATGTGACTGCTGGTGGATTCAAACCCCCAACTCTTACATTGGAGGACAACTGCACAAACCACTCAGCCACAGCCGACCATCAAAATATCTGTTGGTGGATACACAAACGATAAAATAAACAAGCAGTAAGCCGATGTTCCCTGGTGCTTAAAGATTTGAACAGTGAATGTTTGTAGTGTTTGAGATGAATTTTTTTCTTGACAGGAATTGAACAGGCAGCACGGTGGCACAACTGGTAGAGCTGCTGCCTCTCAGCGAGCAGGTCCCTGGTTCAAACCCCGGTCCAGGGGCCTTTCTGGGTGGAGTTTGCATGGTCTCTCCGTGCATGCGTGGGTTTTCTCCGGGTACTCCGGTTTCCTCCCAAAGACCAAAAACATGCATGTTAGACTGATGGTAACTCTAAATTGTCCCTAGGTGAGAGTGAGAGAGTGAATGGTTGTTTTTCTCGTTTGTCTCTATGTGTCCCTGTGATGGACTTGCGACCCGTCCAGGGTGTACCCCGCCCCTCGCACAGTGATTGCTGGACATGGGCACCGGCGACCCCCGTGACCCAAAATGGAATAAGCGGGTAAAGATAATGGATGGATGGATGGAATTGAACAGAGAATGTAAGTAAACCTTGATGATTTTGGTGCAAGAAATTCAAGTGGGTAGGAGCTACACTGTGGAGAACAGAGGTTTTATTTTTATTTATTTATGCTTGTCCTTGAGTGATGGATCCTGGCAAGTGGAGGGAATAATTTTATACATGACCAGGAGCAATGGCCGAGACAGGGTGGCTTATTGTGGCCTTGGCCCCATAGATTCATTTTGGGCCACCACATAGCTTCTTCTTCTTGCGGCTTTTCCCTATTCAGGGGTTGCCACAGTGAGCCATCCTCCTCCATCTCACTCTGTCCTCTGCATCCTCTGTCCTCACTCCAACTCCAACTACATCCATGTCCTCTCTAACTGCAGCCTCTTTGTCTTTTTCCAGGAAGCTGCATTTCTAACATCCTTCTACCATTATAACCACAATCCCTCCTCTGGAAATGTCCAAACCATCTCAGTCTGGCCTCTCTAACTTTATCTCCAAGTTGTTCTACCTGAGTTGTGCCTCTGATGATCTCATTCCTAATCTTATCCATCCTTGTCACCCCTAAGGAGAACCCCAACATCTTCATTCTGCCACTTCAAGTTCTTTCTCCTGTCTTTTGTCCATGTATCTGTCTCCAGACCACAC